GCCGGTTGTGTATCTTCTCGTGGCGCAAGAGGTGAGTTTTGCGGGTGAAGCATTTCTTGCAGTCGGTGCAGCAATACGGCCTGTCTGTAGTGTGGGTCTGCAGGTGCCGCTGAAGGGAAAAGGTGCAAGAAAGAATCTTTTTGCAAAGACTGCATTTCAGCATGGATTTCCTACGAGACTTAGGACTCTGCTGTCGGGAGAAACACGTGCTGGACAGACTCCTTCTCTCCAGCTCCTCCTTGGCCTGACCCAGCCAGGGCCCCCCAGCATACGCCCCGTTGCCCAAACTATAGGCACCTCCGCAGAAAACCCCGCAGAACTTCCTCCTCGGCCGGATCCTCAGCTCTGGGTGGACGTTCCCCCAGACCTTCGCCCCGAAGGCCCTGTCTTTTATGTGGATGCTCTGGTGAAGGTCCAGGTGGCGTTTGTCCGCGAAGCTGATCTCGCACATCGTGCATTCGTAGGGCCCTTCTTTGGCGTGGCTCCGCTGGTGGATGATGAGGTTGATTTTCAGACGGAAACGCTTCCCGCACTCAGTGCAGGGGTGCGACCACTCACGCACGTAGCCGCGCCGACAGTTGCCCATCAGCAGGCTGCTGCTCGCGCACCTGCTCGGCTTCTTCTTGCTCTTGGCCTTGGCCTGCTCGCTTTTGGGGCACTTCTGGATCTCTGGGCCGGGAGAGGGTGCAGAAACCTCTTGCAACACCTCACGTTCTTCTTCCTTTACCTTGACGTTCTCAGGAGGAGAAGCCCCTTCACACACCGTTTTGTTTCCCAGTAAAAAGCCTTCCTCTGAAACGGAACACAGGCGTCTGTCATTCATGGTCCCAGGACAAACCCAGGTTGTGGTTAAGTCCCAAAGCACCGAGCAGGCTTTTAGCAATAAAGGAGCTACCAAAAAATCTGAGAACGCAGTTTGGGGAGGTGCAGGTGCCACCACAGCGTCCTGCTCACACGCCCCGAGCAACCCACTGTGGTCTCAGGGGGCAGATCTCTTGCTCCCAGGAAGAACCAGGCTGTGGTTTGCTGCAGTGCCATCAGGGCCGGTGGCACAAAGGGATCCACCTCTAAAAACCCCGACACCAACGACGGCCACAAGACGTAGCAGGAAAAAAGGTCATTGAAGAGCAACAGCCTGCAGTACTTCAGGCTCTTCGCTTCTGTCAAGCCTGGGGCTGCCAGCAAACACCAAACGCAGGCGAACTGGCTCCCGTGAGGGCTGTGCAACGCCGAGGGTTGTGGCAAACTCTCCACAACACCCCCCGCAGCCAGGCCACCCAGCCGGTGTAAGCCGTGCCCAGAACCCGTGCCGTTTAACTCTGCACACCAGCACCAGAAACAGGCTCCAAGTCCCTGGAAGAGGAAAGTGCTCTGCGTGTTAGCTTGGCAGAGCTTCAGGACCAGAACAGAGGGTGCCTGCAGACAGCCACCCCCCCTTCCTACACCCCCTGCTCCCTCTGCTTCTGGCATGGAGAAGCGGGCCGTCACGGGAAGCATTAAGCAACCTGAGCTCAAGGCCAGCTCTACCGTAACGCAGCAGAGCTGGAGGAAGGGAGCGTGCTACTGCCTCCAGCTCTCCCCCGATTTCTGACAGAAGGAACCCCAACTGGACTGTTGTTCTTTCCGCAGAGGTGATAGGGCTGGAACGCCCAACACCAGCCCCCTCCTTTGCTTGGTGATAAAAAAAGAGCTCTGAAACTTTCTTCGCATGGTGGTGTTGGGTTGATGGTTGGAATGATGATCTTAAGAGATCCTTTCCAATCTTAATGATTCCTAGTTTTTACTCTCATTATAGAATCATAGAATGCTTTAGGTTGGAAGGGACCTTGAGAGATCATCGAGCCCAACCCCCCTGCAGTAAGCAGGGATTGAACCTGTGAACTTGGTGTTATTAGCACCATGCTCTAACCGACTGAGCTAACCCGGCTGGTCTATTATAAATGATCCAGTCCCCAAGCCAGGAGGCGTGGAGTTGCTACTCTCCCCTTAATTGGTTTAGTGGTGGACTTGGTAATGTTAGGTTAATGGTTGGACTGGATGATCTTAAAGGGCTTTTCCAACCTGAACGATTCAAAGATTCTATGATTCTCCCTCCCCGTTTCAAGCATGTTAGCGAGCTGGGAGCTGCCTCTGCCTGCAGGGCCCCACATCTCCCCTGCACTGGGTCACTCACCGGCGCTGGGCTCAGCCAGGTCCTCTTCCATCTCTGTCTCAGGCTGACCTTCCCTGCGCAGCTCCTCTTTTTGCGCACTCAGGGACATGACATTCATCACCAGGATGGGGAGTTCTGTTTCCAGAGAAGAGCAATTTTAAACACCCAGGGAGAGTTCACATCTTCCTGCTTTGGTGTGATGCTAACCGGAGATGTGTTTGGAGCATGCAGAAGAGCCAGAGAAAGCTGCGGCTCAAGAAGCCATGACACGTTGTGCCAGGGGAGGTTCAGATTGGATATTAGGAAAAATTCCTTCACCGAAAGGGCTGTCAAGCATTGGAACAGGCTGCCCAGGGAATGGTTTGGGTTCCCATCCCTGGAGGTATTTAAAAGATGCGTAGATGTGGTGCTTAGGGACATGGGTTAGCGGTAGACTTGGCAGTGTTAGGTTAACAGTTGGACTTCATGATCTTAAAGGTCTTTTCCAACCTAGACGATTCTATGGAAGGCACGTGAGGTGTTAGAAGGAACTGGAGCGAAGCCACACCCAAGGACCAAAAGCAGAGGGAGAGCTGGGAGGAAAGACACCAAGGTGCCGCACGCTGTCACCTCTGCAGAGCAACCTCATCCCTCCTAAGCCCTCCCCGCCAACTCTACAGGTAGTATTCCCACACTGCCTTGTGTTCAGGCTCTCAAACCCCTTCCATTTTCCCTGGCAGCACCTTGACAACACACCCCAAGGCTTCTGCTTTTCCCTGGCAATGCTGCTCTTAAGCACAGTGACCTGCCATGCCCTGTCCCACAGACGCTGCTGGGAGACTGCCTGAGAGAGCCGGGACAGGAATGGCCCCCATGTAACTTACCTGCATCAGCTTCCATGGGGACTTCACCTTCTCCCAAAGCCTCTTCCTTCTGGTCCATCTCTTCTGGTGTCTGCGGGGACTCCTGACCATCCAGGACGCCCGTCTGCGGGGACTCCTGACTGTCTCCAGTGTGTATCTGCGACGACTCCTGACCATCTTCAACGTGTGTCGGCGACAACTCCCGACTATCTCGGACACCTCTCAGCAACGACTCCTGCCCATCTCCACTGTGTGTCGGCGATGACTCCTGCCCATCTCCACTGTGTGTCAGCGATGACTCCTGACCGTCTCGGACACCTGTCTGCAACGACTCCTGACTGTCTCCAGTATGTGTCAGCGGGGGCTCCTGACCGTCTCTGACGCAGAGGTCCTCATCCCTCTCGATCCGGGACAGGACGTCAGGCTTGGACACAGCATAGTCTGCTCACAGGGCAGAGGACAGCGTGTTTTATTTGGAACTGGCTGTACCTTTATCCTGCCGAACTCTCAAAGTGACCCTTCTCTCCCTAACCCCAGATCTAGCAGGCGGTACAGACAGACACAAATATATTATCTGTGCTCTAACCAGAAAGGTGGTGCTGCTTTCTTGGCCCTACGGCAGGATCCACCCGTGAGCGCAGCTGTAGCTCAAGTACAGAGAAAATCTAAGTAACAGAACATGAACTAAAAATCTCAGAGAAGAGGGAGAGCCTCTGTCCACACACCACTTTTCCTCTTTTCCCGCGAGCGCTTGACAAACCAACACCCAAACACACACTGGGCGCTCGTACCGCTTCTGGGTAACGTTCCCCAAAGGACAGAGCCTGCCCTGCTCTCTGCCCTCTCCAGCACTCACCCGGCCTCTCCTGGGGCTTCTTTAACCCCCAACCCCTCAGTCCTGCAGGAAAGAGCTCTCAATCACAGCTCTGCCCGCACGCTGCTGCTTCTCTTGGCTCGGTCAGTGTCTGCCTCTCCCTTTCCAGCGTCTCCTACCTTTCTTGCCCAGCCTTTGCCCTCCTAACAATTGATTTTTCCAGCTCTCCCATGCCATGCCCCAAGGCAATCCTGACAGCTTCTGCTCCCCGCAGCACTAGCAGAGCTCCTCCAGCCTCCTCCACCTGCTGCAGGTTCCCGGATTCCTCACGTCCCACCATGTCTCCTCTCTCACCAAGGCAAGCAGGAGTGTCTCTGGAAGCCCCAGGGCTCATGCATGCAGTCAGGTGAAGAAGGATTGCCGAACTGCATGGAAACAGGACTGGAAGGGATCACAAGAGGCCTGTCCCACCACTCCAGACTCCATCCCAGCCCCTCCTGACAGGCTTTGTCTGTTTTTCTCCACGTTATTCATCTGACCAAGCATAAATGTTCCTCTTGGAAGAAAGATTCAAGGTACTCCGTGGAAGTTTAGTCAATGCAGTCAACGGACGCTCAGAGCAGTAACAAAGACACTGCTGGGAGATCTCCTGACAAAGCTGAGACAGGAACTGCCACCTCCTCCTGGCACCTGCCTAACTTACCTGCGTCAGCTTCCATGGGGACTTCACCTTCTCCCAACACCTCTTCCATCTGCTCCGTCTCTTCTGCTGTCTGCGGGGGCTCCAGACCTCCTCTGGTACATCCCTGCAGGGACTCCTGACACTCTCGGATGCGAGTCTGCGGGGATTCCTGTCTGTCTTCGATGTCCGTCTGCAGGTCCTCCTGACTCTCTTCGATGTCCGTCTGCGGGGACTCCTGACTCTCTTCGATGTCCGTCTGCGGGGACTCCTGACCCTCTTTGATGTCCGTCTGTGGGGGCTCCTGACCCTCTTCGATGTCCATCTGCGGGGGCTCCTGACTGTCTTTCATGCAGAGCTCCTCATCCCTCTCGATCCGGGACAGGATGTCAGGCTTGGACACAGCATAGTCTGCTCACGGGGCAGAGGACAGTGTGATTTGTTAGGAACTGGCTACAGCTTCACTCTGTCAAACCCTCAGATGTTTCAAAGTGACCCTTCTCTCCCTAACCCCAGATCTAGCAGGCGGTACAGACAGACACAAATATATTATCCGTGCTCTAACGACAAAGGTGATGCTGCTTTCTTGGCCCTACGGCAGGATCCACCCGTGAGCGCAGCTGTAGCTCAAGTACAGACACAATCTAAATAGCAGAACGTGAACTAAAATCTTAAAGGAGAGGGAAGGGCTTTGTCTTTAACATTTTCCTCCCATTTCAACTTTAGCAGTGACTTGAAGAGCAACTCTTCTGAGCTATCCTTCTGGAGTAGGGACAGAAAACTTCCTGCTCTGTAGAGATGCCTGTGTCAGATGGACCACGAGAGGAACAGGTTTGTTCTGTTTCTACAAAATATTATTGAAAAAAGCAAAGCCTCAACTTCAGTAGCTGCACAGACCAGCATGTTACTAGTCATGCCCAAGAAACAGCTTTTGGTGGGGAATATCCTACAGCCCAAATCCTCCAAGAGCATGTCGGGTGCCCTTAGAAAGGCCAAGCATGATTAGGTTAGTTCTTTACCAAGGCACGTGGAAACGTCCCTGTCATCGTACGTAGGAGTTAAACAGAAAACAAGAACTAGTTCAAGATGCAGTTATCAAACTTCACCCCGATAATTCCTGAACTGTGCTGGAAGATCACGATGGTTCCCTGACCCTGGAATCCACTTACATGGTCATTAGGAACAGCACCTCGCATGGATATTTTTTATAATCGATATTGCTTGTATTACTATCGCTACTATTATTTACTACAGATCTCTCTCACATTGTTTATTGCTTTACAAGCAGAAAGGAGCGAAAATGCGTGGGTCTGACTGCCCAGGAGAGGTTCTGCTAGCCACAGGCGTCCAGCCCCACCGAACCAGACCATCGCTCGGGCTGCGGTGGGAAGCAGTCCAGCCAACCCGCAAGAGAAGCTCATCCGGCGGCGCGAACCCCGTGCCTTACCCAGGGAGATCAGCATCTCGTAGTTCCCCCTCATCACAGCCCTGTACAGATCCTTCTGCCAGCGGTCCAGTCTCTCCCACTCCTGCTCGTTGAAGTACACTGAAATATCATCGAACGTGACCGGTACCTGCAATCACAAGTATTACACGCCTGGTGCCTTCTGATGCGGTTAGATAACTGGAAACCACGCACGTGCAAGTGAGCGTTTGCCTTTGGTTGCCGGAGCTCAGGGCCGGCACAGAGCAAAGCGTGCCTGGCCAGATCGGGGCTTGTGAGCGGCGAGTCTGGGACTCGCAGGTGCTCAGCCACCCAAACCCACTGCTAAGATCGCGCTGG